TACACGTATCCGAGCTCTTGTGGAGCTTTCGCAGCCTCATGCTCGCCTCGGGCTAAACTGAACTCGCCATCGGCTAGAACAGTGGAGAGGTGGCATATTTCGGGTCGTGACTCAGACCCTCCCGAATGACATTGAGACTTGGTGGCTAACAGGTCAGGTCTTAACACAAGCTGACGTGACAGCGACCGTGGCGTAGCGAACATACCCATTGAGACCACCAATGGGCGTCCATTGAGGCCGAGAGCTGCAGCCTCTCGCCCACTCAGGGCTGCCATGACTAGAGCTATCTCCATCTATCTTTGACAAAGGTCTCGTAGGCCTACGCTCTCGAACCTCACAGCCTCTCTTGCGCTGTGAAATCTAATATGGATCGTCTCGGCAGGCGAATAGGACTCTCATGAGCTGTCGAAGTTGTCTGCGCAGCACACCGAGGTGACCTGATTGCCGCGTTGAACCAAGTGCATAGGACGGATCACTGCATAGTCTTCTCAAAGACTGGTGGACCACCAACGACAACTCTGAGATGCCGGAAGTGTTATAGATGAGGTCTTGGTGACAACTGGAGCTGTTAGGGGAGCACCCTATGCTCTCTGAAATCTCCGCGCATTCCACGCGAGCTGAGGTGAAGGTGTGCAGTCACAGAGGCCGGACCGAGGTGCTCCACGTCGCGGCTCGCACGGCCTCTTCTCCACGTCTTCGTTTTAATACGCCGGTGGCGAGACCTATAACGCGGATAAGGGACGTCTGGTGGGCCGACACTATCGTTGACACGGTGGTGGGCTTAATCTCGCGTGCCTATAGCCGGAGCCCTATATCATGAAGAATCGTCACAAGGATCGAAAGCCGTCATTTTATGAATCATCTATGCTGGCGGTACCGAGTGCCACTACTCCAGTTGGAGCGAGGGCTTTCGTCCAACCGGTGTCCATGCCGGTGGCGGTAGGCTAGGTTGCTGTTGCCAGCTCCATGTGGTGTGTGGGGCGGGCACAGGTGTGGCTACCTTGGACTTGTTGGGGACCAGAGTAGACGTAGTGCCAGCACGGTCGGAGTAGCCAGGGGCATAAGGTCACTCACATCGCTGATGACACGTAGAAGCATGGTGCCTCTTGTTACTGACAAAGAAGAGGTGTACCTGCGTACCGGTGGAAGCCTGGTTTTCAGCTCTTGTGCAGTAGAATAAAGCTGACTCACTGTTGCTGGGAAACCACAAAGGGGACTTCTTGGGACCTTGCAGGGGCCTAGGAAATTCAATTTGGTGGTACTTGAATAAGGTAGCCTGTGTAGACACTGGGATTCCTGTGTTGCCGTGGTGCTGGAACTGGCTTGGTTTGTGAGGTTTTGCCACAGTGGAAGCTAGCTTACTGTGACCAATGAATCTCCCACAAAAGCTCCAAATCAAGTGAGCTACCCACTGACTAAACAAAGGATGGCGGATCCAACGGTGCCGCTTTCAGCCAAGCGAATTGACCTCTTTGTTGTCTCGTGGCTCTGCGAGTTGCTCAAATCGGTGGCTCCGTGCTGAAGATCGCGATTTCCGTGGCGGATTCAATGACTCGACGAAGAACCTCGTAAACTCGTTGAAATTGTGAGCGCAACCAGGTTACCGAAGCTGAGCCTGCTTTCGGTACGGGGAACGTTGTCGTATAAGTCTGCGAATCCAGGACGAGGACTACCGGTGAGACTGACTCAGTGCACTCGTATAAGTACCGAAACTGCACGGCCTTTTTGATTGGCTGAGCGGATTTCGTGGTGCGTACGTCAGCGCGTTCTTCGTCGTTCCACGATAGAAATTCGTGACTCGTGAAACAGCACAGCCGAATGAAAAGAGATATGCCTCGCGAACTCGAATAAATCCAGATATGCTCCGTGACGCGCTGAAAGAAGCTGAAAGTGATAAGCCCGAGATCAAAGAGATAAGCTGTGGTCGCCGTAATAAACGTGTTGCTTCGACGTAAAACTTGTCGATTGCCGAAATAGGTGCAAGATAAGTCTCCTGTTCTCTCGAGACTCCAGATGTCCGTTTGATGGGGCCAGTGCTTCTTTCGAGTGAATTGAATGCTTTTCGTGTCAACGGCAAGCTACTGAGTACCTCAAGCCTCAAGTCAATGGCGTCGAGTCAAGATGGTAGCTCTTGTAGGTCCTTTCAGCAATGACAATGGGATGTCTGTTGAGTTGAGATTGGTGTATGGTCAAGTCAAAGGTTCCTGTCACTGTGGTGTGGCTGGAACTTCAAAATGATCAAAAGGTTGTTGACTTAGGACTTCAAAAGTAGGCTTGAAATCAACACCAAATCCAATGAAATCCAATGAACCAACTGTACTAGTGTACATGATTCGAAGAGATCCTTTTCTCGTCAAGGAGGTCTCTTCTTCCCTTAAGAACTGCCTGCAAATCTATGCTGACTGTTAATCCAATAAGTTTCTTGAAGGATCAGTTCCAATACCCAGTAGTGGACTGGACCTCGCTGAAACCCTTCCTCAGGACAGCGGTAGTCAGGCAGTTCAGGGAGCCTGTCGTGCCTCAGGATGTTCCAACACCTCCAGTAGGCACCAAACCAAGGACTTGGCCTGTCAGTCAGACAGGAGGCCAGAGAGCTCTCTGCTGGGCCCTTTGGCCAGCTCCCTCAGGATGGGGGCCTTCGTTATTCAATCGTGCAGTGGCAGTCTGGGAACAGTACTATCTGCTACCTCCTACTGCTTCTGCCCGGCTCAACAGGATAGGTATCAACTGCTGCGGTATCAATGGGGCTACAAGCTAATCAGGATCGGTCTCAATCTTTCGTACTATTTTCTTAACTATGGTAGAAAGGACGATCCTTTCTTGCTGCTTTGCTGGGAGATAAGCCAACTGCGCATGCTGGAGTCGTAGGCCAGCATAGCTGTTGGAGCTATCTCTGACGGGATCCAGAGCTCTCGCTCCTAAAAGTTATCGCCAGCAAAGAAAATATACTGTTTTACTATAGAGAAAAATGGGGTCAGGGAGTTGGACGGAGGACAGAGGTGAGGTACATTTAAGGTGGTTCCGTCCAGCTTTTAAGCTAGCTTTAGTTTGCAATAAAATAATGCTGCGGGTTTCCGGATTATCGCGAGAGATCGAGTGAAACAACAAACAATAATGAATCGATCAGCTGTTGCTAAAGGTGGCCTGGAATACCTGTATGGTTCCCTCCGTCGGCTATTGCAGGAACAAGAAGCATTGCTAATCGTAGTAAGAAGAGGTTGCTGCGGAGACAGTCGCGGAAGAATTGGAGGCTTTCAAATGGCGCGAAGTTGGCTGCTGTGTGGGGCAGGGCAACAACAGGATGATCGATCATCAACCACCATAACATTGCTCCTGCGACTGATACTCAATGAAACGATGCTCCTAAAATAGAAGTAAAGGTTCTAAATTCGTCTATATTACCACTACCGATGTAGCAAGAAGCGCAAGCTTCAAAGGCGGTGTATTTGTGGAGGAATGGTTGTTGTTGTTGTGGTAGCAGACCGCTCCATAAGGCAACAAGAGGAAGGAGATTGAGAGCCGCAGCTGCGGCGTTGCTTAGAAAACACTACTAGTACATGTATGTGGTTGCAGCTCCGGCGTCCAAACTCGCTCTGATTGTGGCTTCCCTACACTGTGGGTAGAGCGTCGAAGCTAGCGTTGAACTACATGCATGAGCAACCATTTCCACTAGACGGTTAACCAAAGATATAAAGTGACCCTTTGAGCTTGCAAAGGATAGTGGACACTATTAGTTCTTCGATTGTTGCTTCAGGGGTCACTTTATTGCTTTGGTTAACTGCCGTTTCGTGGCATTAGGGATACACGATCCATGAGCCCCCTGCCTCTACTATAAGTTAGATATACACGACGTACAGTGTGCTCCGCGATTGGGTGTGAAAAATACCTTGAGTTTTTCAAACTTTCGAGCTTGCTTGGAAGTTGTCTGATTGTGTCTTGGGCACTACTCTGAATTAGCTATCCGGATAGAGTATATGTACCGGTAGGTATAAATAGCCAGCAATGTGAGTTCTTGCTTCAGAAGCACCTAGCCTACCGGTATCCCAAAATTTCTAAAGCATCTGTGTGTCTTTTGAGGCTGTTGTTGCTTTCGGGGGATAGATTTGCTGCATCTCCTTCCAACCGAGCTGCCATCACCAACCAGGATACCAGTATTCCAAGGCATGTCATTGTTTCTCTCGATCTCTTTAGCTTGGGATGGAAAGCTACCAAGCAAACTGCTCAAACTGGTACCGGTACCTGGTACATTTATTACGGTTTTGAGAGAGATATACAATCACTTAAAATTAAATGATTTTATTCGCGGATACCACAGAGCTCAAGGGTAGGGTGATTAAATTTTCACTAAGGCTAAGCTACACACACTTGGGCTAAGTGGATTTACGTGATTCAATCAGACAAAGTGTTCTACTTAGCCTAAGCAAAACACTTTGGCCAAGCAACACACGTAGTTAAGCTAAGTGATACTCTCCGAGACACTTCTCAACAGCACAAGTCCCTGCAGCTTATTGTAAACGCAAACAGTGCGGAAATACACTGTACTGATAAAATTCACACCGGAAAGGTCGGGTTGGGTTCAGGAACCCACAGTTTTAGTGCTGCTTTTTGGCCAAGTATTGTTGCCGGATGGTGTCGAAGTTGTCTGATTGTGTCTTGGGCACTACTCTGAAGTAGCTATCCGGATAGAGTACCGGTAGGGATAAACAGCCAGCAGTTCTTGCTTCAGAAGCACCTATCCCAAAATTTCTAAAGCATCTGTGTATTTTTTGGGGCTGTTGTTGCTTTTGGGGGATAAATTTGCTGCATCTCCTTCCAACTGAGCTGCCATCATCAACAGGATACCAGTACCGGTATTGGTATTCCAAGGCATGTCATTGTTTCTCTCAATCTCTCAGCTTGGAGCGGAAAGGTTCAAGGAAACTAACTGCTCATACTGGTACCGGTACTCAGTACCTGGTACTCTCAGGGCAATACTCGGAGCATACATTTATTACAGTTTTGAGAGATATAATGTTTATTGGTCACTTAATTAAAAGTTTTTATTCGCGGTACCAGGTACAGTACCACATAGCTCAATGTTCTGCTTTTGCTGTGGTATCTTCGTGGATGATCATTAATAAAATCACGTACCGGTACAGCGTTACTGATAGTTGTGAAGATGAAAGTCCCTGATACATGATACTGGTGGTCTGGTTGGTGGTACCTACGCGACAATAGTGTTGATGACAAGCTATTCCAAAGAAGGTTGAATCATTCAGTGGGAGATCCTTCGATGTCGCTAACAACAGCTGGGGTAGCCTCTGTTCCGTCGGCTTCAGCCGTTTCCGTTGTTTGTTTCAAACGCTTCGCAGAGATACTCGGGGCATCAGCAAACGCGCTCTTGCGCTTCTGACGGTAAATAGTGCTGTGATTCGAGATGCCTACAACACTGGAATGAGCTCGCACAAGGTCGTGGCGATGAGCATCCGTAACCTGGGCGACTCCCTCCGTCTTGAACCGTTTCAACAATTCGCAATTGCCATCTGGAAGAATGTCAAAAACCTTGCACATCTCATGCCTGTCAAAGAACCGCATCTCGTCCATGCTCCCTTCAGTGAAGATTGTCTTCTCAATGCCAGACTTGTCCACTTGTCTTTCATACATCTTTTCCTCGACACTCCCGGCCATAAACAAACGGTACACAAACACTTCCTTGGTCTGGCCAATGCGGTAGGCTCGGTCGACGACCTGCGCATCTTCGGATGGGTTCCATGAAGGATCAAACAAGATCACGCGGCTTGCTCTTGTCAATGTCAGCCCAACACCGCCAGCTCCAGTCGAGAGGAGCAAGACGTCAGACATTCCTTGTTGGAAATAGTCCACCGTGTCTTTGCGACATCGTTCCGTAAAAGACCTGAAGACAACACAGAGTGGGTATATCAGACAGGGCGTCAAGCAAAATGTACGCATTTTTTTGCTGCAGTCTTACCCATCAAGGCGAAATATGGACATGTTGTTGTCCTGCAGCATCAAGGCGCGCTGGATGATATCCAAGGTTCCTGTTCTCTGAGAAAACAGCAATGTCTTGTGACCATCAGCTCGGAATCCTTTGATCATGTGCAACACAAGTTCCAGCTTGCTGCTACCCTTGAGCAGAGACTTCAAGTCGGTTTGATCCAAGGCACTGCGAATGTCAGCATCTCCCTTTAGAAGGAGCAGTGGGTGCCCGCATAGGCTCCTAAACTTGGTCATTACTTGAAACGCATGAAGCGCACCCCAGCGGCAAATGTCCTTGGCAAGATAACCGGCCATCTCCTCCTTGTACATTTGTTTCTGTTGATGGGACGGCTTGACCCAGACACAAATCTCGCGCTTTGGAGGAAGTTCATCCGACAAAAAGTCAATCTTGAGGCGACGGAGTACGTACGGCTTCAGTGTGCCTTGAAGTTCTTCATTGGCTTTGGATCCTTTCTTCCTTGCCATCGACGAAGCATTTCGACAACGGGCCTCTCGGATCGGCTTGCCCCATTTCAGATTGAACTCCTTGAGCTTGCCCAAAACATGGCCCGCGGTTGCCATGTGCACGATGCTCCAAAGTTCATCTGTATTGTTTTGAAACGGAGTGCCCGTCAACAAAAGTCTGCTGGTACCTGGCTTGTGGCAGATTCGCCTGCAGCACTTGCTCCGATTCGATTTATGGTTCTTGACCTCGTGGGCCTCGTCCAAGATAACGTAGTCCCAACTATGCCCACTCGGAGGAAGGAATGTTTTCATGGTCCTTGCGGACGCAACCAGACCCCAAGACGATATGATGACGTGAGGCTGATCGTAGGAGGATTTCTTCCAGGCGTTTCGAACAGCCTTCTGGCGTTTCTTTTGCTCTCCGCCGTGAACTTTGACAATCCGCACTTTCTTAACAAACTTGGATAAGAACTTGTTGCATTCCTCTGTCCAGCCACCCAGAACCGAAACGGGAGCCACAACCAACACCATGCGGATTCGTTGAACTCGCATTCGTGCACCAATTGCAGCAATCGACATGAAAGTTTTGCCTGAATTGGGACATGGAAGTAGAGGAAACAAGAAAGCGTAGGGCTGCTGTTAGCTCGAGGCCGCACAAAGTTAGATACGGTATGGCGAAGAGACTTCTTCTTACCCATGCCCATGTCGTCGGCGAGGATGCCCCCAGTTGGTCCGGCGGTTGCAATCCACTTCACAGCATCACGTTGGAATGACTTGAGGCGGAGGTGAATGCTCGAAGGAATCTTCATCACAGTGATGCCCCCGAGAGACAAAGCGTACTCATCTTTCGACTCATCGTATACCCAATCAGCTTCCTCCTTGTTCACAGAAAGAATGCCCTGGTCCTCCTTGCTGTTGCGCACCTTGTAGGCACGGTCGTCGCCGTCGGGAATCTTCCAGGTCGAAGTGTATTTCTTCTTGCTGACAGGTCTAGGGCTGCGCTTGTTCTTCTGGTCCGCCTTTTCCAAGAATTCACGAATGTTCTTCAAGCGCTCATCGTTTCTCTTGTCGAAGGCCAAGGCACAACGATAGAACCGAGATCGCAAGAACTCGGTACGAGTGGGAGGTGACATGTTTGACAACTACTAGTTTGATAGTTGGACGACTTTTGGTTGCGACAAAGGGGAAGCCAACCAAGAGTTTGGTGCCAGCTCAAAAAGTGCACTGAAGCTCGCGTCTGGGTAATCTTCGCTCACCAAGCCGATGCGAGAACAACAAGATCGATTGAGAGGGGCTAGTTGAGTCTGGCGCTACGACTCGGTCTTCAACTCTAGTATGATTGAATTGGCACAGCTAACGGACGAGTCATGTTTGCCTGTTGAGGCAATGAGAGTTGCTGTGCGATGCATTGTTTTATTGAACTGTGTGAAGAGCTACCTTCACGCAGGGTTACCAATCAGCGTGGAAAACTCCTGCCCTACGTACCGGTACCGGTACCAATACCGTCCGGCAACGGAAGCACAAGCAACGTGGGCTTGAGAAGCCTCGAAACCCAAGTTCCCTATCTATGATAGCTATGTATACGTTCGAGCTGTCGTTGTTTTGGAGCATTGATTGCTCCTTCGCTTTGCTCTGCTCGAATTTCCACGATCACTGAGTGACGGTCAACGAGGCCGAAGAAAGCAGCGGAAGTCTTGCAACCGTGGAGTCGAGTCCGTGGAAGCGGCACGCCGCCAGGGGATGGTACATAGATTGAATCATTCCACCGGCAGGGACAAGTTGAAAGGTGTTGATGACCCAATCCCACGGACTCATTATGGAATCGTGCCAGTACGTTGGACTTGTCATTGTTTTTGAGTACTGACTGCTTCGCTGTACTCTGCTTGTGTTACCACAATCGCCGAGTGACAGGCTGAAGAAAGGAAAGAACCTTGCCTATCGTCATTCGAAAGATCCCTCAGTATTCATTCTTTTTCGAGTCTCGAGGCAGACTTCTCGGGTTTCTTCGACTGGACGCTCCAAGTCTCATACGAAGACGACTTCCCTTCTCACATAAGCAATCTCTTTCGTCATGAATGCCGACCAACAAGTCTTCGAGGACATCTTGGACCACATACCGGAGAGGGATCAAGCTGCGTTGCAACAGCAAAATGGCATCACTGACCTCTCCAAGCTAGTTGACAAGAAAGGTCAGTTGCAGCAGCGTCAGCTCGATGGTGTCTGCTCTGATGTCCAAATGGCTCTTCATCTCGTTTGCACGTACTTGGAGAGTCTCGATGCAGCATCCACCTTCACATGGGAAGGACTCGCAAATTTTTCCGGATTCGTTGACGACTCAGGTAACTACGATTTGGACTTGGCCGATGAGACGAGAAAGAAGAAAAAACAAACCACGGAGGATAACGACCCGGACGGCTACAATCTCACAGCGAAGGAACGGAAGCAAATGGAACAAAGGATCGGGAATGATCCTTTGACGATGAAGGTCCGTGGGTTTTCTTCTCGGTCCTTACAGTTCGAGATGGACAATCTTGACAAGAAGAAGCTAGTGGAAGATGCCAGCGAAAAGATGCAGGTTGCCTTCAATGGAAGCGTCTTCTACGTGAACAAGTGCTACTACTACGAGCAGGAGAATGGCGAAAGTGTGACCGTAGCTATTCTTAAGTTCACAAGGGTATGCCGATTCGATTCTGCGGCTTGGTGAGACAACCATGCCTTTTGTGTTCACGGCTCACGTGTCTCTGTTTTTCTGGCACAGAACGAGCAAAAAGCAATCGTGGCATTGGTCGTCAGGTTTATGGAAACGTGTATGGGACCTGGGCTCGAGGAAGAACCTCCTATTGGTGTTCCAGCTACCTACGAAGAAGACCAGACTGGACTCCCCACATACGTCCAAGTGCGCGAGAAACCGGGCTCTGAACCTATTCTCCCGTTGTCGTCCCTTAAACCATGCCACGATCCGTCCGACAAGCCGGATCTTCTATTCGAACCGCAGCAAATAGGGCAGTCACCTCACAACTTTGGCTTCGTGTACGAGAATGACGGCAAGAACCGTGGAGAAGAGCGAGAAGAAATTAAGTTCCTGGACTTGTTTGCTGGAGCTGGCGGATATCACCAGGGTGTGATGCAAGTTCCCGGCCTAAAAGGAGTGGCTGCTGTTGAGTATTGGGATACTGCATGGTGAGTGAACAGGTGTTTTGCCAAACTTACAACCGCTCCTTGACTACGGCACCTGTCCTTCTTACAGTTTCATTGTCCATCCCTGGCCTACATCTACAGCGAGACCTTCCGAAAGAACAACCCTGAAACGGAGGTATATTGCCAGAAGGTGGAAGACTTCATCGAGGAGAATGGCCCCACTCCTTCAGACTTCCGTAAGAAACATGGAGATATGCAGGTTGTCCTGTGTAGTCCTCCATGCCAGTCTTTCTCGGGCTCTAACCGCGATGTTGACCATAATGGCGAGAAGGACCTTTACCGGAAAAGACTTTCGTTGAAGTTCTTTGATGCCATGAACACCACTGGGGCTCTGATCGGTGTCTTCGAGAATGTCGAGGGAATGTGGCGACGTCCAAACATATATTTTCTGAAGAAGATTGTCCTGGATCATCTTCTCGCCGGGTATCAAGTGCGAGTTCGACTGTGCCGTGCCCACGTCTTTGGTGATCCTCAGGCCCGTCCTCGACTTATCATCTTCGTGGCCAAGAAGTACGTCGAAATGCCCAATGTCATTGAAACTCACGGTCCAGGCAAGCATCCATACGTCACGGTTGGGAACGCATTCAAGGGTCTTGACAAGACTTTGCAGAAGGTAAAGGACAATCCCGATACGATGGCACCTATCCCAAACCTGGAAGGATCCATGATACAAAAAGTCGGCGATGAAAAGGATATTCTCAATGCCGATAAACCCGCCGGGACCATTCGATGCGGCGGACGTGCCTGGCATCCAACGGGGAATCGCGCCATTACGGTCCGTGAAGCAGCCACCCTTCAGTCTTATCCAGTTCGCTATGAGTTTGCTGGTTCCCTTACCGACCAATACAAGCAAGTGGGGAATGCTGTTCCAGGGCAGATGGGCAAAGCCATCGCCATGGCTTGCAAAGAGAGTCTACGCTTTGTCTATGACGAAGAAATCGAGGAGTTTGAGAAGGCTGAAAAAGTGTCCAAGGCAGACGAGAACGGACAAGGCATGGATGCGGAGGATGCAGTGGGAATGGCGGACGAAGAGAAGACTGGGAGTGTCGACGAGGATGCTCCCATGGAAGAAGTCAACGGTACGAATTCCAGTGCCGAATCTCATGGCGTCTCGAGCAAAACTGCCGGCATGTATGAGGCGGGCAACAGCACCGAAGGAGGACGAATGGAGGCATCGGTGGAAGAGGCACAACTTTGAAATGACACACTACAGCCATCGAGCGGTCGTCGCGGGGATTTTTTTGTGACAAGCCATGCATGTCCTGAACGACATCCATGCTAACCGTACAGCAAAGAAAAGGATTCGATTCCATCATTAGTTATCTATTACAATGACTTTGATATGTAACCGCCATAAGTAAATATTCCAGAGACTACACATAGCCGCTCATCTCACCACCCAGAAGCTCGCTTGTGAGGCTATATAATAGTTGGACTGGCTAGCTAGGTAGCAGAAGCTACCATTCCCTTGTCTTGTAGTCAGTCACACACCCAGCCTAACAAGCGGTATTATTATGTATCTGAATTGATCAAATTACTAAACTATCTATTATTGCGAATTAATTTTGAGTATTTCCTTGATGAGACTGGGCACCATGAGAAATGCAAAGAGTGGATTGTGGGCTACAAAGTCTGGCGGTCTCAAATGAAAGAGGGATGCGGCAATGGCCACTTGTTGGCCGCCTGCATCCGACTCGGAGGTGGCACTACTAGTACTAGTATAATCGACCCGATGCCACGTCCATGTGGGTACCCAAAGGGCATCTCCAGCGTACGTCGTGACCTGATAACGAGGGACATGTTCCAATTCTTGGGGTGATGCATATCCCGACACGAAATAGGACCGTCCATCGGGTCCAATGAATGGATGTAGTAGAAAGGAGTATTCGGGTGATACCAGAGTCCATTGCTTGGCCCCTTCTAGTTGGACTGCTACACTGCCGACCGGTTCACAATGCAAGGTAGTAAAGGCTTGTTTGGTGGTTTTGTGATTGTTGACTGCGGCGACAAATATGGGTACCGTGGTGATGGATGGCAAGAATGGTATTCCAAAGGCCCCTTGTCGGACATGGTCAGGCTGAAATCGATCTCCAAACAGAGTAGTGACCAGCTGAGTGGGTGCGACTTCCTGTATGATTTCTGGATATTCCGCAACCAGCAATTGAGATCCAATTTTGTGGGGAGCACCGTGGTGTGAAATGTTGGCGACAATGTCCTTGATCCTGGCTTTTCCATTGGGTGCGAGTGCGGCATCGTTTCGCGAATCGATAAAGTAGGGAATGGTCAAGTTTTCTCGGAGCAGTCCTCGTTGCGAGAGTCGTCTGTTCTCGTCGTGAAAGAGTTGCTCTTCAGTCCACAAGTGTCGCAAGAGGAGTGGCTTTTCCCTCCATCGTGGTCCCTCTGTAGATTCCAAATGCTGCAAAAGAGCAGAGTAATTGCCTCCAAAGTCTTGCACGTTGACCGTGGGAATGGAGAGCAGTGTTTCCTTTCCTACCAGATTTCGTTCCTTCAGTTTGGCTCGAAAGACTTGGTCCCAATGGTCCCATGCCTCTTGCTGCCATTGTTTCGCAAATGCATTATTTAGAAAAGAAGGCGTCCACTGGACCGTGGCCCATTTGGCCAAGACCAAAGGAGAAACATCATCGGGTGATAGAGTGGTCAGGACCAGAAGGTTCCAGGATACTGTCGCCAAGACAGCCAATAGTACAGCTGGTGCGAGACCAATCGATTGCGGACGACCAGCACTGTACATTATAGCCGTCTATCTACTTGCTGCAGTACAATACTAGCTACTATCTTCAATACGATTTGTGTCCACAGTTGTTGTTGATTGTCAGGGCGTGCAAGCATTATTTTGGACGGGTCGCGACAAGGATTGAACCTTTATAATTACTTCTATCGAGCCTTTGAGCCCTCATGGCTTAAATTTGGTCTTTGGTCTCATCAGGATGGATTTGGTGGGTTCGAAAAAGATCCACTTTGGTCGCGGTGATGCATAAATTCGATTGTGCTCAATTTCGAATTAATGGTCGAATTTTTAAAATAGTGGCATCGAATAGATTTGCCTTGGCGCTTGGCATTCCACTCATCCACCACCAACACACGTCGATTTTTGTACCGTCTCAAAGGAAGAAGATCCGCCTTTGCAATAATAAGACCACGATACCAAGCTTGGAGGACAAACGAACTGTGCAACGGCGACAATGGCGACCAACTTGCTCTTATTTGTTTATTTGGTTTTTGTCACGCTGGGATTATTTGCACTGGATGCGGATGCTTTCTCGCCACTTCACCACCATCACCACAAGACATCATGTACGACCCTGTTCATGGGCAAGGGTTTGAACAAATTCAAGAACAAACAAGCCGATTTGAAACGAAAACTGGAATTGGCCAAACAACAAAACAAAAAAGACGACATTGACGATGATGACGACACGAGTCAACAAAAGCATCTGACGGACGAAGAAATCAAGGAACAAAATGATCGCAAACGATTCGAGCAATTGCTACAGCGAGAAGGGGCCACAATGTTGAACAATTACGAGTCCGAGGGATATCTCAGTACCCAACAAGAAGAAGAGGAAATTACTGCTGCACGTAAGTTCGTTAGAAGGAATGAATGAAGTGACGAGAACACATGATGGCAAGGTATCTCACTTCTTTTTCCCCTTCATTATTTCTCATGCTATTAATACAGGATCCGGCGCGGACCGTATCTTTGAAGGCGACCCGGCACCAGTCGATTGCTTTGAGGGTTTAGTATCCGTCACGACCGAAAAATCCATTGCCAAGAAAGGAACCGGTCGATTGGTACCATGGCTGGCCAAGGACTACAATATCGATCACGACGACTATCGCGTCATTATTTGCGACCCACGACAACAATCTACCGATCTCCATCAGGCCATGAAAGACTTAAATGGCGCCCTACCCAAGGACATCAAGGATAGACTCTACTACATCAATGCCGATACACCCGCCGAAAATAGACGATGGTTGAAAAAGAATGGACTCCGACACTTGGATGTCTACTGCGACGACGACGACAAGACGTGGATGAGATCCTACACGGCACTGGGAGACAAACGATGGTACATTTCCATGTTTGTCATTCATAAGGGAAAGGTGTCCAAACTAGTTCGAGAAATGGATGTCTACAATGCACCCAAGACGGTGCTCAATGCTGTCAAGGCCATGAAAAGTGAGCAGCTGTAAAAATAAAGGAATTCTTGTATGTAGCTACTACTTTGTTACCAATGACTATGAGTGCATCTGCTACAACAGCACGAAAATCGATAGCAGTCGCATCACGGCAAGACTAATGTAGCGTACATGGAGTAGGTTCAGGATGCAGCCAGTGAACTGGATGTGGACAGAGCTGCCTGCTAGTAAGGCATACGGTAGGCGTGACGTGAGCTGCCGCAGTTACTACAGTGGTTGATATGGTATCTATAGTTGTGGGCATCCATTGGCACGAGCTCATTACGAGTGTAGCTCAATTGTGTCTGTTTCTGTGAGCAATACCCAATGAGTCACCATCGCAGAATACATTGATCTTTGGTGGCAAACCTTTTACGCTTATTTCTAAAAAGCGAGAGGTTTTATTGACGTCAATTATCGAGGCAGCTGTCAGAAGATGATCAATCGGATCTGTGGGAATGATTGAATCAAAGGATGCAAATATGTAGTTAAGGTAATTATAGAGTTGAAGATAGATTTTACTCTAATATTTTGAGTAAACGTCTATGTTTACCGCGCTTACCTGAATTTCAAAGCTGCTTCGGCGCTCATGATCGATCACAGCCATTCCTCTCACAATGATCGAAAAGCTCAATGAAGACTCACCCAAAACTAGATAACGCAACAAAGTTTGGTGTCGGGTCGAGGTAGCCAATAGAGATTCGATCAGCTGGTTGCTACCATATGCCATGGATCGTTTATTATGGAGAGTTTCCTTGGTAGTTGTGGCACTTTTGGTGTCCAAATCGGCGGGGTATTCTTCTTTTTCATTTCCTGGACTCTCTAGCCCACCGCTATTATCCAGAGAGCAAACTCCGATGCCCAGGTTTCAGCAACCATGTTTCTATTACTGGCATTACCGGAGAAGACAAAGAAGCAGCATTTCTCTCCTGCAGCAGACTTCTTCTACCGAAAAAGATACAGACCAGGAAGATGCAACCACCACAGAGCCAAAAGACACTTTTGATGATGATGACGACGAAGATGAAGAAGAAGATTACACAGAACGAGATGCTATGCTAATGGAACCTCCCAAACCAACCAAAAAGACATCAAAACTAGAAGAGCGAACGCGTCGCTTCTTTCAAGAGGTTCCATTCTCTTCGAAAGCGACTGGAAACAGTACGCTAATTGCAGAATCAGATGATCATAACGCAGTGGAAATCCCAGAACAACAACATAAAGGGGCAATAGATGAGTACTTGAAAGAGGCTCAATCTCTGGCGACAATATGGTCGTACAAACAGTCTCACAAAGGTGCTCTAATGGTTGAAAGAATCATAAGGAGGGTGATTCAATCACAGGATGAAGAGGATGGTGGAGGTATCGAAACCCTGGCGCAACAATCATCCATAAAAGTGGCCCACGTATACACCTGCGCCATTCGAGGGTGGACATTCAGTGGGGACAGAGGGAGTGCTGAGCGTGCAGAGGAGATATTGGATACCATGCAACAATGTTACATGGAGGGGGGGATACAAGGGATTAAACCAGGCATTGAAGCTTTCAATATGGTGTTACTGGCATACGCACGGTCAGGATTGCGCGATGCGCCACAACAAGCTCTCAGAGTCCTGCAAAAGTTGCATGATTGGTACACTACAGGGGCTACTGATATTGCACCCAATAAGAAATCTTATGCCGCCGTTCTGAGGGCATTTGCCAACACGGGAAAGCCCGATGCTCCCGAACGAGTCATGACTTTACTGGAGCACATGGAGAGATTGGCAGAAGAAGAAGGCTACACGTCTGTGCGACCAGACTTTATGTGCCATGGGGCTTACTTTTCTGCTCTCCATGATGCTATGGAAAGGGATCATATCACTGGAGAAGAAGCTGCCACCATTGGGGAGACGTACTTGTTCAAACTCATGGCCAGTCCCCATGAAGATATTCAACCTGACACTTGGTGCTTCAACCTGGTGTTGGGCAGTTGGAGCAAATCGTACACAAAAGATATGGTTGAACGAGCGGATGCCATCATGGAGATATTTGAAGCGTACCATGAACAATCGGGACAATCTGAAAAGACACGACCTAGCACGCTCTCCTATAACTTTTTGTTATCGACTTATAGTCGATCAAAGCTGAAAGACAAAGGTGCAAGGAGCCTTGCGGTTCTGCGTCGCATGCAAGAGCTTGCCAGAAGTGGCGAAAACCCTGGGGCAAAACCGGATGCTGTCACCTTCAATACAGTCATGACTGCTTTTGGAAAGAGCCGACAACCCAATGCACCATACTATGTCGAGGACCTGCTACGTGAAATGCACGAAGAGTACGTGAAAACAAGGGACCCCAGAATAAGACCCACTTCCCGAACATACAACAATTGTGTAAGTGCTATGGTTAGTTTCGCTTCCCAACTCGGGTCATTGGTTTTGCCGGCTGTCGCCTGACTTTTGGCATCGCTCTCTGCAATCCGAACTACATGCAGGTAAATGCATGGGCACAAAGCACTCTTCCAGGAAGCGCAGCCCGTATTATGGAGTGGATTGTTCACATGCAATCGAACGCAGAACGGGAAGGAAGACGATATCTGGGCCCGAACAAATGGACGTTCAATGCTTTTTTACAATCATTGTCCAAAAGTGGAGAGCCTACAATTGGCGAAGATGCTGAGGAAGTATTGAATCAAATGATGGAATACTATCGGAAAGGATGGACTGAACTCAAGCCTGATGTTCTGACCTTCACCACCGCCATTCATTGCATTGCAGTCAGCGGAAAGCCCGATGCTTTGGAGCGTTCGTTGGCCATTGTGAGGCGAATGGAGGACTTCCATGAACAGGGCTTTGGCGATGTTCGCCCGAACTGCTACACTTATAACTGTGTCATCAATGCTGCTGCAAAGTCTCGTCGCCCCGGGAAAGCCCAAATTGCCCTACAACTCTTGCGAAGGATGCAAGAGGTAGCATTGCGACCACCCACAGTTACATACAACAATGTTTTGAATGCGTGCGCTTTTGCACATCACCGCGACGACGTTCCAGACGACATACTCGACATAGCAAAAGAGGTGTTTGAAGAGGCAAAGGTTACATGTGAACCCAATTATATTACTTACGGTGCTTATGTCAGAGTCATAAGCAAGTTTGTAAGGGACGGCACAAAAAAGAAAGACCTTGCATGTGATGTTTACCGCCAATGCTGTGAAGCAGGCCAGTTGACGAACCATGTTATGAAACAACTCAGATACGCCCTGACAGCGCGACAATACGCCGAATTGCTCGAAGACGCGGTTGCCGACGAGAAAACAGGTCAATTTCACGAGCGCTACACGGAAAATGCAAGGCGTACGAAACTGTCTTTTCAACAAACTTCCCACGGGCATGGCAGACGTTGATAGGGGCTTCTCTGAAATGCCACTTTGGGTACCAATCATCAATCCCGACCTGCGAAAATACGACTTTGTGGGAAACTCTGCTGCCATCTCACTGGCACTGCATTGGAACCGATTTCCCCGGGGTCGACTCGACTCGTGATCGAACAATGCATCTGGAAATCATAGCTACGGGTATGCTTCCAACACATGATGCTCTCTTGTCAATACTGGTACTACAGTAAGATTGGGAGCTTCAAACGGGAAGACTCTAGCAATCCAGCTAGCTACCCGGTAGTTTAGAAAGGATTGAAACAAAAAGAGGTGATAATCATTGGCACTGTAACTGCTACAACTTTTTCAGGATGTACTTGGCGGCATCCCTCGGATACATTTCTTTTATCCTCTCGTGTTCTTTTCGATGTTTATGCTCGAGTGTGGACCAGTCTCGAAAGGTTTTGAGATGGTTGCTAACAGTACGTGTCTCGAGTTGATATAGCGTGTCTGGTGACTTGGATAGCAGTTCCTGAATGGCCTGTGACAGATCGAGGCACGTCCTCGCGACATCGTAGTGGTCATGCCCCCAGTATGCCTGTTGCAGCTCCAAAAGTTTCATCCCTGTCACGACCATTCGACCGAGGAGCATACATCGTTGTTTGTGGCTCAGAATTGCCGTTGTAGAACTCTTGGCATCCGCCTGTAGCACCAAATCGCAAGCATCCAGGTGGAGCACCAAACAGGGAATGAGCAGAATATGATTGTTGTTTTGGAGTTGTTCAAGGGCTTGTGAAAAGAGCTCGCACAACGACACTTCCAACGCCTTGGCTTGTTCCACCATTTGTTGTCGTCCTGATACTACTGACGACGACGACGACAAAATGGCATTCTTGGTAGTTTGGAACAACACATCCATCTCGGCAATCGCATTTTCAATCCGCGACGTGATGCTATTGTCGTCGACATATTCCTTGGAGGACGGAGGAAGGCCCCCGTTGGTCACCACCTCCATGCGCTGCAGACTGGGTGTCAGTTGCGCGCCAATATCGAATCGATGCTGTTCCCACAAGTGATGTCGACGAGACGCATGGCTAAGAATCCGAGGCACGTAGGAAATGGTCAAGCATTCTCCTGGATTCACCCATCGGGTGGTTCGAACTTCGGAAAATGTGGGTGGCAAAAAGTCATCAGTATTGTCGTCAGTATTGCTGCTGGCAGCCTTTGGCAGAAACTTGACGCAGTTGGGTTGACAGCTGTGGTTGATCATTGCGACGTAGCAATAGAGCCCGGACTCTAGTCCGTTGTATCTCAGAGCCAGCAATAGTCTCAAAATGTCCTTGGTGGAAATAGCGGTGTTGTCCCGATTTTGGAGTGTCTTGCATTCTTGCACAATCTGTGCGAGTAGCTGTGGAGTAGTATTAGCATCAGTATTGGATTGCTGCTGTGTTAGCAGTGACTCCATCATGGTTTCCACTTGCGCAGGAAATTCGCTTTCGACGGGTCCATCGACCACCGCTTTGGTAGGATGAAAGTCCTCCAAACAAGCGACAATCTTGGCGGCATTTTCATGGTTCACTAGACGCTGTACGGATGCCAAGCTCAGTGGTTGTCCCAGTTGTTCGTCGGGCCACATCATGAGCGCTTCTTCCAGCAGCACCAGTGTTCCTGGAGCGAGTTGGCGGAGCGCCACAAAGCCTCTGCCGCCTCCAAATATGGCAAGTGAGGAAACCAATTTTACGTCTGAAGACACATACACGGGACTATCCCAAGCAGGAAAGCTGCATTCCTCCAGATTCGTCAGATCCACCAGATCGACTCCTGATCCTTGTCCATGTACTGGAGTGGTGGAATCCGTCGTCGTTGTGCTCTGATCTTTGTCAGTTTGGCACGTTTTGGTTGTTGCAGTATTGGCAGCTTGAAGCAGATCCTGAGCTTTCTTGACGTCTTGGACATTGTTGTCGCTATCACTGTCGTCGTCGCTGTCCCCAAAGGCACCGAAAGGATCCTCTTCAGCTGCCATGGTCCATCAATTACTTTGAGATCGCCATGGAGACGAGTGCGAAGATATAGCCGGAACCCTAAAAAGGTGTGATCGCATTGGCTTGGCTTGGCTCGATCAATCGCCCTGACACAAACTCACGAAAGCCGTTGTCTAGAAGACTTGTCTATCAATCCATCAATCAATCCGGTGGAGGCTCACCGACGTTGACAAGGAAGAGGAAGAAGAAGTAATAGAAGACAATCATGAAGGTATCAAAGACGACTAGTGTGAGGGAGGAGCACGGTTGTAACATATATTCGATTGCATTTTCACAGGATATCTTGGTGGAAGAACTGAACAACCGAAACAAGTGTTACTATCGAACCTTTTGCTCTTGTGCCGGTCCGTATGTTACCGTATACAAGATACAAGTCTTTGACTTGATCGATGGGGATGTCTTTACTGGTCCGTCGGGGCCCATGCTGGTACATCAATCCTACGTCGATGTTCATCCCGAAGAAGAATTCTGGGCGTGTGCGTTTGGAGGAAGATCCTTTCTACCCACAAAACCCACCAAGCTGCCAGCCTTCAAGAAACAGCAATCAAATGCTAAAGAGGAAAAACCCAAAAAACGAAAAGAACAAGGAAGCATGGTGGAATGTGAAGAAGAAGCCGATACATCCATGCATGAAGAGTTCCTCAGTAGTAATGACGATGACGACGAACCACTGCGCATAAATCTGGATCAACAACCCACTGGGCCTCACTCTTTGGCGGCGGGAAAAAATAGAACCATTCAAGTCATTGATACCACGCAACAAAAACTATGGATGTCGCTACAAGGACATGGAGATGAAATCAACTGTCTCAAATTTCATCCAATAGACAACAACATTCTAGCCAGTGCATCCAATGACAAGAGTGTGCGCCTCTGGAATTTGCGAAATGGTACTAAATTGCCATTCTAGCAGGACATGAAGGACACAAGGACATTGTACTGGCTGCAGGTTGGCATCCCACGGGAGAAAAGTTGTCACAGGGGGACACGATAATCTCGTCAAGATTTGGAATATGGAAGAGGAACTGACATTCACAAGGCCATGCAAGACAGTTACAAGATAGAACTCACACAAAACGAGACTGCAACCACCAAAAGCTCACGACAAAAAGCTGCAAACGACAAAACCTTGATCTCTCCCAACAACTCGTGCAAGCCAAGGATTACTTCAAACCGTCATTTGCCAGTTCCCCATTCATTCCACACACAAGGTACACTACAACCAGTCGATTGTGTCGACTTTATCTATCACCCATGCTATTGACCAAGGCATCTACCAAAATTGTGCTTTGGTATCCCAACTATGTCAATGAGGAAAATCCTGCCGTGGTTCATCCTGCTCCTGCCGATCTCGTGGCCACGTTCAAGACGTTTGAAATCGCCGACACGCCCGAGGAAGTCTTCTTTTATCGCTTTGCGACTTGTCCTGCGGAAAATTGGTGGCAGCTGGCAATTCCAAGCAGAAGTCTTTTTGTTTGATGTCGATGCCAAAAGCAGTAATGCTTTGGCCAAGTTGGTGGCTCATCCCAAGATTGCGACGCATGTGCGAATGACACATTTAGTCCCGATGGACGGATACTCTTGTGTTGTTGTGATGATGGGACCATTGCCAAGTGGGATATTAGGACCAAGAACTAGCTACTAGGTAGATATATCTACACGCAACTCACTCACCAGCTAGAACGGGCTCGGTAATGCATTGACACAAGAGATGGTGTGAAGGTCAAAGCGATGAGCAAGGAAGGGAGAACAGCCAACAGTGATATTCGCCAGGAAGTCGAGAAACTCTGACTACTACCGGACTAGCAGATCTATCGAAGTTAAACCGAGCTAGGGTGAATATTAGGGACGACAAAAAACCAATCTATCCTGCCAGCTAGTTCATTAATGACGCAGTGCCCCCCCAGCTAGACTCTTCTACAGTCTGTATGTTGATCCTCTCGCACTTAGCATAGCTAGTCGATCAACGTCAAGAAAGATGGCATGGACTGTCGTCCCACTTTGGCTTTTTGCTGTTGGATCCGCTGCGCAGCCTGAACCAGATGCGATTGCTCCACGACGTCACGCTTTTCTCGAATGGCATTCAAAGCTCCATGATTAACCACATTCTGAAGATCTGCTCCAGAGAAATTGTCAGTGTAGGTATCCGATGCCAGCAGGGTCCAGTCCACGTTGGGTGAGCACTTTGTCTTTTTGGCATGCACCAACAGGATTTCTTCTCGTCCCTGTGCATCGGGGTACCCCACAAATATCTGTCGATCAAATCGGCGCAAAACAGCCTCGTCAATGACATCCAAACGATTGCTGGCGGCAATCACAATCAACGTGACTTGTTCGTCTTTGGAATCGTTGTTTTTATTGGAAGAGCCAGTATCAAAGCCATCCATTTCGGTGAGTAGTTGATTGAGTGTTTGTTCTCGTTCATCATTGCCCAGAAATCCATCTTTGGATCGCGCCTTGGCCACGGCATCGAATTCATCAATGAAAATAATGGCACAGGCGGGTCGTTGCGCCTCTAGTTGTTGGGAGTTAGTAGTAGTAGTACTCGGAGGAAATCCCAACATGGAGGACCACCATAGTGCAGATTGTTTGAGTTTTCGACGGTTCAAAGCATCCTTCGTGCCTTGGCAAAAGCGACCGCACTCGTGCGGCGCCCCTCCCAACGTACATTTCCACAAAGGATGAGCCGCTCAAGGCTGTAAAGCTATCGCAGTGAGCTTCTCCAGCGATAGCTCGTGCCAGTAGCGTTTCTATTGCAAAAGAGGAGAGGCAAGGCAAACATGAGACAGACACGAACGGAACAAGTCAAAACAAACGAAGCATTGCATGAATGACTATGATACTTACTTCCACTTCCTGGTGGACCATGCAGAAAGACTCCTTTGGGAGGCCGTGCTCCCATTGCGTTGTAGAGCGTTGGATTGGACAAGTACGACACGACTTCTCTCATGTCTTCGACAACCAAAGCCAATCCAGCCACATCGGCTAAGGTGGTCCGATCTTCTTTATCGTCGTCACCACTACCACCATTCATCACCAATCCCCAAAGCGAGAGCCGTCGGGTTCCATTGGTGAACAATTTGGAGTTGATGTCTTCTCCTCCAAAATGAGTCTTCATCATGCGATAGACCAAGAGCAAGTA